ATTCAGGTACGTGGAAACATTTCTTTGAATACGATAATGTGACGACGTTGTATTTTTTCACGTTGTGAAACAATTTTCATTCTGACCAAGCAAGCTAAGGTAATAATAATAATAATAATAATAATAATAATAACTTTATTTATATAGCACCTTTTAAAAACACAGGTTTACAAAGTGCTTTGACAAACAGCAAGAACAAAGCAAACTAAACCAAACACAGAAAAAACATTAACAACAGTAAGAATATAACAGATGCAAAATACCAAAAATAATTAAATACAATTCAACAGAAAAGAACCCAAAGTGCACGATACACACCCAGACATATATAACCCAACCATCATAAGAACCATCATAAGAACCATCATAAGAACCATCATAAGAACCCAGGAACACAAGAACCCAACAACACGAGCTGAGACCAAGAGGACCAAAGATTTAAAAAGATGTAAGAAACTAAGAGATAAAAGCAAATAAAAAGCAATGAGAAGTTAAGCGTAGTAAAAGAAATAAAAACAAGTGGTTAAAGGATCAAAAAACCCAAAACTATAATATTAATAAAAATAAAAATTAACTATAAATACGAAACATAAATAGACAAAGTAAGTAAGATCAGAAATTACCAAGTTAAAACACAAGAGAGTTAAGATATGAGCATAAATACGAGATAAGACCATAAATAAAAGACAGTAAGAAGTAGAAGAAGATAAAAATAGTAAAACCAGTAAGAGAAGACATTAAGAAGACGACATCACATAAAAGCAAGTCTGTAAAAGTATGTTTTAAGAAGGGATTTAAAAGAATTGAGGGAATCTGCAAGTCTTATCTCCTCAGGGAGGTCGTTCCAAAGTCGAGGGGCCCTGACTGAAAAGGCCCGGTCACCTTTAGTTTTAAGTCTGGACTTTGGAACGACCAGGAGGGCCCCACCCGAGGATCTAAGACTGCGGGCTGGCTCATATGGTGTCAGTAACTCTGTTATATAGCTTGGAGCCAGCCCCGTCCGTGCTTTAAAAGTAATGAGTAAAATCTTAAAATTGATTCTAAAACGGACAGGAAGCCAGTGTAATGAAGCTAAAATTGGAGTGATGTGATGTCGTCTGTTACAACCAGTAAGAAGCCGAGCTGCTGCATTTTGGACCAGCTGGAGGCGAGACAGTGACTTATTTGTGATTCCGGAAAAGAGGGAGTTACAGTAGTCAAGTCGGGAGAAGATGAGGGCGTGGATGATCTTTTCAAGGTCTCGTTGGGTTAGGATTGTTTTAATTTTGGAGATGGTGCGTAGCTGGAAGAAGCTTGATCGGACAACTGTTTTGATATGGGATTCAAAGGTGAGATTGCAATTGAATGTTATTCCTAGATTTCTGGCGGTGGGTTGGACATTGGTGAATAAGGGACCGAGGCTGCTCTTTGAGATATGAGTGGTGTTTGGCGGGTTGAATACTATGATTTCAGATTTAGAATTGTTCAGTTGGAGAAAGTTTTGCGCCATCCAGCAGTTGATATCGTTTAGGCAGTTTCTGACAGCAGCTAGGCTCCTAGGGTCCTCAGGTCTCAAAGGAAGGTATATCTGTGTGTCGTCTGCGTAGCAGTGAAAGGAGACATTGTGGCGTTCAATTATTTGGCCAAGAGGCAGCATATAAATGGAGAATAATGATAGTGACGATAGTGATATATTTTACCAAACTTATTCGTAGCTTTTCTTTTTTTTAATGCATATAGTTAAACAATGTGATAATAATGACAAAGTAGCTGGCCCTTGTGATTAGATATGTTGCCTTGCATGTCTGCTAAGCACGCCAACGTGGTTAAGCTAGGTACCGGCGGATGGGGAGGGGGGAACGGGGGGGGGAAGTAGCCAGGGGTGTTAACAGTGAAAAAGAGGCGGTGTTGCTCCACCCAGTTGACCCCATGTTCTTTTTAAGACTTTGACATTTTGTGATTTCTTTGGCTAAAAAAAAAAAACACGCTTCTCTCACACAATGACTCCAAATCCCAGACTCCAAATGACACGCCATCATTGTTTGACACTAGCTTTGTGAAATGGTAGACAGCTAAGGTAAAGCCACATTGTTCTAATGATTTGTTTCTTTCTGTAGATTTTTTTTTTCACATACTGGAGTATAAACAAGCCAAGATGAAGCTGCTGTGGGTTGTAATGTTGGTGGCCGGCACCGTGTTCGCCGACGACGACGACAAGAAGGACAGCGTGGGGACTGTGGTTGGAATCGACCTCGGGACCACCTACTCATGGTAAATAGAGACAAAGTGACAGCTGTCTTGATTGTTTTACACGCAACCTTTAAATGTGGATAACACTAATCATTTCTTAATTGTTTTTTTTTTTTTTCCTTTTTAGTGTTGGAGTGTTCAAGAATGGGCGTGTGGAGATCATCTCCAATGACCAGGGTAACCGCATCACTCCATCGTACGTGGCCTTCACCAGCGAGGGTGAGCGTCTGATTGGCGACGCTGCCAAGAACCAGCTGACGTCTAACCCTGAGAACACCGTCTTCGATGCCAAGAGGTTGATTGGGCGCACTTGGGGAGACTCGACTGTGCAGCAGGACATCAAGTACCTGCCGTTCAAAGTAAATTTCTGCACTTCTTGACGTTACTGTTAAGAGTCTTAAGGTCCTTTTTTGGTATCGTTTGAGCTTCATTCTCTGTTTGTAACATTGATTCATGTTCCTTTTTAGGTAACTGAGAAGAAGAGCAAGCCCCATATTCAGGTAGACATTGGTGGTGGCACGATGAAGACATTTGCTCCTGAGGAGATCTCTGCCATGGTGCTGACTAAAATGAAGGAGACTGCTGAGGCTTATTTGGGCAAGAAGGTACAAACACATGAAAAAAATACATTTAAAATATGTACCTCATCAAAATGATGTTCAATCAAAGCTAATGAGTTTATCCTTTTTGTCAGGTTACAGATGCTGTGGTCACTGTCCCTGCCTATTTCAATGACGCCCAGCGTCAGGCCACTAAGGATGCTGGAACCATCGCTGGTCTGAATGTCATGAGAATCATCAATGAGCCGTAAGTTTTGAATGAAAATGATGTTTGTTGTTGTGTTTGCAAAATATTTCCCTTCATTTTTGTATTAACGTATCTTCCTTTTTCTTTTTTTTTTAGAACTGCTGCCGCCATTGCTTACGGTCTTGACAAGAGAGACGGCGAGAAGAACATTCTCGTTTTCGATCTTGGCGGTGGCACCTTCGACGTCTCCCTGCTGACCATCGACAACGGTGTGTTTGAGGTGGTGTCAACCAGTGGTGACACTCATCTTGGAGGTGAGGACTTCGACCAGCGCGTCATGGAGCACTTCATCAAGCTGTACAAGAAGAAGACCGGCAAAGATGTGCGCAAAGACAACAGGGCAGTGCAGAAGCTGCGTCGTGAGGTCGAGAAGGCAAAGAGGGCGCTGTCCGCTCAGCACCAGGCCCGCATTGAGATCGAGTCCTTCTTTGAGGGAGAGGACTTCTCTGAGACCCTGACCCGTGCCAAGTTTGAAGAGCTCAACATGGTAAATAATTGAACCAACATTTTGGTTATAGAAAAACTGTAACTCTAGTATAATGTTACCCTCTTGTTTATGAAACATGATTTACTAACAGTTGAACCTTTTTTCTTTTTCCAGGACCTGTTCCGTTCCACCATGAAGCCTGTACAGAAAGTACTGGAAGACTCTGACCTGAAGAAGCCTGACATTGATGAGATTGTCTTGGTTGGAGGCTCCACCCGTATCCCCAAAATCCAGCAGCTGGTGAAGGAGTTCTTCAATGGCAAAGAGCCCTCCAGAGGCATCAACCCTGATGAGGCCGTGGCATACGGAGCTGCTGTGCAGGCTGGAGTGCTTTCTGGAGAGGACAACTCTGGTAGGTTATCATCGTCTCACATCATTTAATTTAATTCTAATTCGCTGAACTAGCTTTTATATTGTGTACTAATAATGTTCCTATCTTACAGGAGATATTCTTCTTCTGGACGTGTGCCCCCTGACTCTTGGTATTGAGACTGTTGGAGGAGTGATGACTAAACTGATCCCCAGGAACACTGTGGTGCCTACAAAGAAATCCCAGATCTTCTCTACAGCTTCTGATAACCAGCCCACTGTCACCATTAAGGTTTATGAAGGTAAGAATTGTGCATACCCAACATGAAGAAAAAAAAGTTTAAAAATAGCTGTTGGGTTTTTTTGGTATGCAGAAAAAAAAAATGGAATTTTGCAAAAGTTTATTCATTGATTCTGTCTCTAGGTGAGCGTCCTCTCACAAAAGACAACCATCTGCTGGGCACATTCGACCTGACTGGCATCCCTCCCGCCCCTCGTGGTGTGCCACAGATTGAGGTCACCTTCGAGATCGATGTCAACGGTATCCTGCGTGTCACAGCCGAGGACAAAGGTACAGGCAACAAGAACAAGATCACCATCACAAACGACCAGAACCGCCTGACGCCAGAGGACATCGAGCGCATGGTGAACGATGCAGAGCGCTTCGCCGATGACGACAAGAAGCTGAAGGAGAGGATCGACGCCCGCAATGAGCTGGAGAGCTACGCTTACTCTCTGAAGAACCAGATCGGAGACAAGGAAAAGCTCGGCGGAAAGCTGTCGGATGAGGACAAAGAAATCATTGAGAAGGCAGTAGAGGAGAAGATTGAGTGGATGGAGTCACACCAGGAGGCTGAGCTGGAAGACTTCCAGGCTAAGAAGAAGGAGCTTGAGGAAGTGGTACAACCAATTATCAGCAAGCTTTACGGCAGTGCAGGAGGACCACCACCAGAGGGCGCAGAAGCCGAGCAAGACGAGAAGGATGAGTTGTAGGCAAGTTTGCCATCAACTGTTTTGTCGCCCCTTGCCTCTCTGTTAGTGGCACTTAGATGTACATAATGAACTGATGAGACTCAAATCGTGAGAGGAACGGTTGGGAAGGGGTGGCCATAACAAGCAACCCTACTAAATCCTCTGAAAGACTTTAAAAAAAACAAACAAGTTTCAGTGTGTGAGAGGTGTTCTCTTCGCTGGAAGGCGGAGATATTCGTCAGCCTGGATATGAGGCTTGCTGCTGCTGTTCTCAGGCAGTCCTGTTGGGGTGATGTTGTGGGGAGGGACTTAGTGGGTGGGTTGGGGCAGGTGTTAGTGGGTCATTTGAGTTGGAAGTCTGTGGGATCAAGGACTCATTATGTCCACAGTCAAGGCTAAAAGTTATTTATTGAATCTGGTCGTTGTACTTCTGGAAAGACATTGAAATAAATGTTTGATAAAAAAATCCAAATCTGGTGTCTGTCATTTCATAGTGTACCTGGTCACAATCAATATTTCAGCCTTTTGTAGCACTAAGATGAATTCTCAAGAGCTCCAAACTTGGAAACCCGCCATTTCAGTATTCATAGAATTAAAAAATGTATCTTGGGTTTGTTGATTTAATCAAGACAGAAGAGTTCTTAAAAACAATTTCTTTAAACTTTAGTGAGTATTACATCATCATGAAACCACAGTCACAACACAGTCATTATGAATGACACCCTGGGTATCCATCCCTCCAAATACAAAGGCCAAATGTATTGTCTCTGAGGCTGTTGGGCAGTCGGCCTGCTCCTTATCTCCATTCCCCTCAGCATGCACCGTCCAGGGCAATAAACACATGGAGTGGTCCAGGCGGTTGGGGGGCATATCCCCTTCAAACTTCATAAGGACCCATCTGCTTTTGTCTGCAAACATAATGGATAACATTGGAGGTTTAAACTTCTCAACCACAGTTTTACGACAATTAAAGACAATTTACAACGATTAAAGTGTGGCCAGCGGGGACAGACTCTGTACTTCAGGACAAGTTCCATCACACAGACTGGAGTATGTTTGCTTCTCAGGCTACCTTGGGCTCTCACACAGACATTGACACCTACACTTCTTCTGTGCTGGATTATATCAACACCACCATCGACAGTGTTACAACATGGAAGCAGATCACCACGTACCCAAATCAGAAGCCATGGATGAACAAGGAGGTGCGTCTCCTGCTGAAGGCCCGCAACACCGCCTTCAGATCAGATGATGCAATGGCCTACAGCGTATCCAGGGCAAACCTGAGGAGGGGCATCATCAAGGCCAAGCACTGCTACAAGCTGAAGGTTGAGGAACACTTCTCCAACTCCGACCCCAGACGCATGTGGCAGGGCATCCAGGCCATCAGTGACTATAAACCCAGAAACTCCACCCCGATAACCACAGATGTCTCCTTCCTGAACGAGCTAAATCACTTTTATGCTCGTTTCGATAGAGACAACAGAGAGACGCAGACCACGACCAGACCTCCTGCAGACAACCAGCCCCTCTCACTCACCTCCACAGACATCCACGCTGCACGCTCGAAAGGCTGCTGGTCCAGACAGCACCCCCGGGCGCGTGCTTAGAGCATGTGCGGAGCAGCTCACTGGGGTTTTTACGGACATCTTCAACCTGTCCCTCGCCCAAGCAGCTGTGCCAGCATGCTTCAAAGCCACCTCCATTGTCCCAGTGCCGAAACACTCCAGCCCGACAGGCCTGAACGACTACCGCCCTGTAGCACTCACACCCATCATAATGAAGTGCTTTGAGCGACTGGTCCTAGCACACCTGAAAAACTGCCTCCCACCCACACTGGACCCATTCCAGTTTGCCTACCGCAGCAACAGGAGTACAGAGGATGCAGTCTCCACTGCGCTGCACTCTGTGCTCACTCATCTGGACAATAACAACACATGCACGAATGCTGTTTGTTGATTTTAGCTCAGCATTCAACTCTGTCATCCCCTCCAAGTTAAACACTAAACTCGGAGACCTGGGCTTCAACACCTCCCTCCGTCACTGGATAATGGACTTTCTGACCAACAGACCCCAGTATGTTAGGTCAGGACACACCTGCTCCACCACCATCACACTCAACACAGGCGTACCACAGGGCTGTGTGCTGAGCCCATTCCTCTACTCCCTCTTCACTCACGACTGCAGACCTGTACATGGATCCAACACCATCATCAAGTTTGCGGACGATACAGCGGTGATTGGCCTCATCAGCAACAACGATGACACGGCCTACAGGGAGGAGGTACAGCATCTGGCCGCCTGGTGTGCTGACAACAACCTGCTCCTCAACACCAGCAAGACGAAGGAGATCATCGTAGACTTCAGGAGAGAAAGAGGAAGCACGCACAACCCCATTCACATAAACGGGATGGCTGTTGAACGTGTCTCCAGCTTCAAGTTCCTGGGGACCCACATCACAGAGGACCTCTCCTGGTCCACTAACACCTCCAGTCTGGTTAAGAAGGCTCATCAACGCCTCTTTTTCCTGAGGACACTGAAGAGACACCACCTGTCTTCAGCTGTACTGATGAACTTCTACCGCTGTGTGATCGAGAGCATCCTGACCAGCAGTGTCTCAGTCTGGTACGGAAACTGCTCTGTCGCAGACCGTAAGGCGCTACAGCGGGTGGTAAAAACCGCCCAGCGCATCACAAGGTGTCCACTTCCTGCCATTGAGGATGTCCAAAGAACACGCTGTCTGCGGCGAGCTCATGGCATCCTTAAAGACTCCTCCCACCCTGCCCACAGACTGTTTATCCTCCGCTTCAGAAGCCTCCGGACCAGAACCAGCAGACTGAGGAACAGCTTTTTCCCCAGAGCTGTTTCTCTACTGAACTCTACCCCCGAACTCTGAACTCTGTCTCTCTCTCTCCCCCCCCCCTTTCCCCTGCATATCACCTCACACCCATCATCCCCCCACCACTCCTCCTGGTCACACACACACATCTCTCAACCTGTATTATTGTATTATAGTATGTTCATATTATGTCCATATTCTTTATATTATCTGTAAACTAGTATAGCATGCTCACTGCATCTTAATCTGTATATTATTAGTATAGCATGCTCACTGCACCTTAATCTGTATATTATAATCCTAAGAATACACTTATTTTGTAGCATCACTTATTTATAGCATTTATTTATATTTATTGCATCCCATTAATCCAGCCATCCAGAAATACCTAATAATTCACTTTTTTGTCTACATCTGTAAATTTTGTAATTACTGTACATAGCACAGACTCTTGCACTTTCTGCTTATTTGCACTTCTGGTGAGATGCCAAACCTCATTTCGTTACTCTATACTTGTATATGTGTAATGACAATAAAGTTGAATCTCATCTCATCTCATCTCTCATCTTTTAAATGTAATACAACTTTGTGTATGATGTGATAAGGTACAAATATTCAATGACAAGATTAATGAAAATTCTATTACCAGTGTTGAATCTATACATGGAGTTGGTCGCTCCTTCTGCTGTCATTCCCCCAAAGATATAGATGTTCTTTCCCAAAGCCACAGCTGAGTGGGCTGCTACTCCTGGTGGGATATTTCCTTTGACTTGCACCTTCTCCCACTTCATGATCTCTTTGAACAGTAGACACTTTGTTTTATTTTTTTAATCAAACAAACATGACATTCCCAAGTTTTGAGGCTCTTTATTTTATCATTTAGAAAACTTTGAAAATAGATTTTATTTTTTTAAATCACACACAAAACATATTACACTTCAGGAGTAATCAGTCTTACTTGTATCGAAAGAGAACACGTCATTGTGGAATTTGTCCCCGGCCATGCCCCCATGGATGTAGATCTTTGAACCTGCTGCTACGATAACATGGCCATGTTTGTCTGGCGGCTGTCTGCCTTGTGTTTCCGGTTGGGACCAGGCGGAAGAGGCTGGGGGGTAATTAAGATAAAAGTGATCTCATATTCCCGTATTGCTGTCTACGTCATGAAACAGACTGAAATGAAAACGAATGTCCTTATATGACCTACAAAAGAAAACAACTCTGATTGTTTCTATACTTGGTCTTTTGAACGCCTGTAACTATTGCAGCGGGGTAGGTGTACCAGGTGATTTACAGCTCGCTGCAAAGGAATTTCCATGGAAAATATTCACAATCAGTGATACGTTTGACTGTTTGAAGAAAGTAGCATGAGATTTTTTGTTAAAAACAATTTTTATACATGTACAGGAAAAAATCAGCAGTGAAATAAGATGTACTGTTTTGTCCACAGAGAGCGCCAAAATTGACATAAACCGAAATTACTAACAGGATCTTTCACAAACAAATAAAAAAAAAGAAAAATTGAGAATTGAAATAGAAACCAAACATCAAGTTAAATGGAAAGACGCTGTATGTCCAGCATTATTATAAACAAAAATTACATTAATAGAGTTATTTATATACCTGAAAGATTACAAACATGTCTGAAGGAGGGCAGAGAGACTTTAGTTTTTCACTACATCAGATAATTCCAAAGTAACATACACAGTATATTAGCACCTCTTCTTCATGTGAATTGGAATTAGTCAGGGAAACCATCTGAAAATAAGAGAGTACTGGATTCATTTGAATTGGGATTTACCTGTTAGCTGTACATTCTGGATACAATTGTGGTTGCCGCTCTGCTGTGCCCCTCCAAACACCCACAGGCTCTGAGGACAGCTTTCTGGGACAAAGCAGCAGTGTTCATACCGCGAGTCCAAACCCTCCCACTCTGGGATGTCCCACTCATGATTATCTGGGGGAGTCAGAGAGAGGAAAAATACCCCAAAAAATGTCTAACAATATAGAAGACATGAGAACACAGATGACACTTCAAAGTAAACAACAATGATAAACACCTTTTAGCAATATGGTTTTTCACAATCAAAGTCAGTCAAAATTTTTGAAATTGCTTGTAACTGCAGACATAATATCTCTGCACAGTCTCTTTCAATTACCAAGATCAGTGGTTCTCAAACTATGGTATGGGCTCCCTGTGGTGGTACGCAAAGAAATCTCCACAATATAAAAAACAAACCCGATCAGCATAAAACCACAATTTTTGTATCTTGTATCTATTGGGTTGTATTTATATCAAATGTGTTTTCCCCTCTAAATTAATCTAGTTTTTGCAACAAACTACTTTAATCTGCTCAATTTATGCTCACGCACACACATAAACAACAACAGGAGTACGCCTCGCGTTTTGAAAAGTTCCACTCGATATTCCGTTATAGTTCAGTACTGAAACAACAGCAAACAGCTGTAGGCCTACAGTAACAGATATTCTGTGAATGTAGGCCTACAGTAACAGATATATGAACAGATATATTATATTCTGTGAATGTAGGCCTACATTAACAGATATATTAACAGATATATTATATTTTGTGAATGTAGGCCTACATTAACAGATATATTAACAGATATATTATATTCTGTGAATGTAGGCCTACATTAACAGATATATTAACAGATATATTATATTCTGTGAATGTAGGCCTACAGTAATAGATTAATGTATGTATTTCCAAACAGGTTGTTGGTCTAAAGTTGTCATTTTTATTTTTCTGCACTTTTGTGTGTGCAAGTTCTAGCGCTAACCGTTAGTAGGCCTACAGTGTGCCTGCCAGCAGACAATAATAAATAATATTCTTTTTTTTATGAATTAATTTGCCTCTTGCATTAAAAATACGTGTTGAAATTGGCCTACAGTGTATTTCAACGTCTAACTAAGCATTACTAGTCTTAAATAGGAAGATTAAATATGGAAGATTGAATGTAAATGTGCAAAAACAGAGTCGTAAATGGACAGTATTGACATAAGTTGAAGTGCATGAGTGTAGACATGTTATAAGCAGAAACTATTCAATATAACGGCGAGTAGACAGACAAATGAAGTGAACATGAGTGCAGGGATAATTTGTAAATTTAACAAAAAATTTAACAACCTTAATACAAACGTGTACAAATGTAAACATTGTAGCCTGTTTTCAATTTGCGGAGTTAATATGACATTAATGATAACAACTTTGGCATCCATATGTGCACTTTTGTCTCTTATCAAGTTCACTCACATTTAATTAGCCTATAACCTCTATTAGCCTAACCTATAGTCTGTAACCTATAGCCTGTAACCTCAGGTGCAATCAGAGATAATAAGTGCAATAAGAAAACTTCCAGACAATCTAACTCATCTGATGTAACCTCAGGTGCAATAAGAGATAATAAGTGCAATAAGAAAACTTCCAGACAATCTAACTCATCTGATGTAACAGCCTTCACTTTAAGGTCACTGACTAGTCACATGCATATTACACAGGGTTTGTACAATTCTCAAACATTGTATTGAGTCATCATTAGGCTACTACTCATGATGTCATGATTGTAACACAGCAAACCACTTTAAGTCTACTTCCAGTATCGGTGACATTGCCAAGACGCGGGAGTGCCAGCATGTCGCGGGGCTTTCCAACGAGCAGCCGCTCAGCCAATCGCGGGCCTCTCCGATTGGGGAAGAAGTGACGGCTTATATATGGAAGAGAGCGCGGTTCATTCAACATCACTTCACAGACGGGGAAAAAAACACTAAGAGACAGAAGAAGACGGACACGCTTTGGCGTTGAGAGGCTGGTCCTATCCGAGACGACGTGAAGGCTGTTAATTAATTGACGACATTGTTATTCAGGTACGTGGAAACATTTCTTTGAATACGATAATGTGACGACGTTGTATTTTTTCACGTTGTGAAACAATTTTCATTCTGACCAAGCAAGCTGAGGTAATAATAATAATAATAATAATAATAATAATAATAATAATAACTTTATTTATATAGCACCTTTTAAAAACACAGGTTTACAAAGTGCTTTGACAAACAGCAAGAACAAAGCAAACTAAACCAAACACAGAAAAACATTAACAACAGTAAGAATATAACAGATGCAAAATACCAAAAATAATTAAATACAATTCAACAGAAAAGAACCCAAAGTGCACGATACACAACCAGACATATATAACCCAACCATCATAAGAACCATCATAAGAACCATCATAAGAACCCAGGAACACAAGAACCCAACAACACGAGCTGAGACCAAGAGGACCAAAGATTTAGAAAGATGTAAGAAACTAAGAGATAAAAGCAAATAAAAAGCAATGAGAAGGTAAGCGTAGTAAAAGAAATAAAAACAAGTGGTTAAAGGATCAAAAAACCCAAAACTATAATATTAATAAAAATAAAAATTAACTATAAATACAAAACATAAATAGACAAAGTAAGTAAGATCAGAAATTACCAAGTGAAAACACAAGAGGAGATTAAGATATGAGCATAAATACGAGATAAGACCATAAATAAAAGACAGTAAGAAGTGGAAGAAGATAAAAATAGTAAAACCAGTAAGAGTCTGTAAAAGTATGTTTTAAGAAGGGATTTAAAAGAATTGAGGGAATCTGCAAGTCTTATCTCCTCAGGGAGGTCGTTCCAAAGTCCAGGGGCCCTGACTGAAAAGGCCCGGTCACCTTTAGTTTTAAGTCTGGACTTTGGAACGACCAGGAGGGCCCCACCCGAGGATCTAAGACTGCGGGCTGGCTCATATGGTGTCAGTAACTCTGTTATATAGCTTGGAGCCAGCCCCGTCCGTGCTTTAAAAGTAATGAGTAAAATCTTAAAATTGATTCTAAAACGTACAGGAAGCCAGTGTAATGAAGCTAAAATTGGAGTGATGTGATGTCGTCTGTTACAACCAGTAAGAAGCCTAGCTGCTGCATTTTGGACCAGCTGGAGGCGAGACAGTGACTTATTTGTGATTCCGGAAAAGAGGGAGTTACAGTAGTCAAGTCGGGAGAAGATGAGGGCGTGGATGATCTTTTCAAGGTCTCGTTGGGTTAGGATTGTTTTAATTTTGGAGATGGTGCGTAGATGGAAGAAGCTTGATCGGACAACTGTTTTGATATGGGATTCAAAGGTGAGATTGCAATCGAATGTTATTCCTAGATTTCTGGCGGTGGGTTGGACATTGGTGAATAAGGGACCGAGGCTGCTCTTTGAGATATGAGTGGTGTTTGGCGGGTTGAATACTATGATTTCAGATTTAGAATTGTTCAGTTGGAGAAAGTTTTGCGCCATCCAGCAGTTGATATCGTTTAGGCAGTTTCTGACAGCAGCTAGGCTCCTAGGGTCCTCAGGTCTCAAAGGAAGGTATATCTGTGTGTCGTCTGCGTAGCAGTGAAAGGAGACATTGTGGCGTTCAATTATTTGGCCAAGAGGCAGCATATAAATGGAGAATAACGATAGTGACGATAGTGATATATAGTAGTGACGATAGTGATATATTTTACCAAACTTACTTCTTTTTTTTTAATGCATATAGTTAAACAATGTGATAATAATGACAAAGTAGCTGGCCCTTGTGATTAGATATGTTGCCTTGCATGTCTGCTAAGCACGCCAACGTGGTTAAGCTAGGTACCGGCGGATGGGGAGGGGGGAAGGGGGGGGGGAAGTAGCCAGGGGTGTTAACAGTGAAAAAGAGGCGGTGTTGCTCCACCCAGTTGACCCCATGTTCTTTTTAAGACTTTGACATTTTGTGATTTCTTTGGCTAAAAAAAAAAACACGCTTCTCTCACACAATGACTCCAAATCCCAGAAAATGACACTCCATCATTGTT